AATATCGACCCTTCCAATGATCATGTGAATCACGTGTTGTGGCTCTTCTTGCTCGTTTTGTCTGTTTGAATATCTGTTTTTGAAGTGGTTCTTGTCCCGGTCAATTAAGAATTCCCGAAGGTTCCCCTCGTCGAACAATTGGGCTACTTCCTCTCTTAGTTGTCTACAATCTTCTGTTTTACGGCCATGGGTACCATGATACTTGCATATTTGGTTTGGATTTATCTGGGCCGGATCGATCTGCAGAGGTCGAGGCCATCTTGTATCTTTGATTCATCCGATGGCCGATACGATAGAGGATGCATCTACGTTGAAGTTATATTCTGATAATCGAGGTGCTTCTTCTTGTTGAAACCATTCTTGCTCATGAGTCCTCGGGAGCTCTATCCTCGATCATTCCTTCTGTCATTTCGAACAGGGTTGCGTCTAGGCTCGTTGTTTCTTCGATCTCCACCGTATGGCTGATATCGATCTCTGTTCGAATGTGGTTCCCGTTCGATATCCCTTTTAACTCTGTCGACGGACCTATTTGGATAAATGGACCCGGAAGGAGCCCCCAATTGATCATCCTCGACCCTGATCTTTGGCTGATACCGATTATGTACATCGGCCAAGTGACAGCTGGATATTCGATCAAATTCTGCTTTAACTGTTGTGAAGCTATGGAACTTCGAGCATTGAGACTTTGAGTAAAGGCTTGAATATCCCAATCGTCAGTGATCGATGGCAAATCCATTCGCTCCATTTGGAATCGAGATGCGAATTCCCTGAGCATTTCGTTATCTTTCTGACTCACCTTGAAAAGGTCCGACTTTCTAGCTTGTAGCGACCTTAATGGCTCTGGCGTGTACCTTTAGAAAAGAATTTGCAAGCATAGCAAAAAAAATCAATAGAATTAGGTGGTAAATTGTGATACCATATTATATCACCTTTCGATAGAATCTCCCCAAATTTCTTCAACAATACTGATTCAATCTCGTCATCTTCCAAGTCATTTCCCTTGATGGTTCACGTGTATGAAATGACGTGTTTGTTTGGATCTGTCGTCCCGTTAAACTTTGGAATCTCTGGCATATAGAACTTCTTAGGAATTGGCTTCGGAGCCGCACTGGGGGAAAGGTTTTTTCACAAACTTTTTGGAATCTAGTCCTTTCAATATCGATGGTGCCCCCGGGATTTGGTCGACCCTGGATTTATAAGTTTTCACTTTCTTATCATTTTTCTCGATCTTCTTTTCCCCTGTCTTGATTCGTTTTGTTAGTTCTTCGAGCATCTTTACGATAGCAGGATTGGTCTCGATTCTCCTCCAGTCCATCTCTTTGGCACCGATTCGGCCCTATGAACAATTTCTTAAGATGGCTCGAGTTTGATCCTGCTTGGTGCATAGTTCTGATTTTGGAGTTGTGTTATTGCAGCTTGTTGAGTCTGCAACATTTCGAATATCACTCGAAGGCTAATCCCGCCTTCTTCACTGCCCTGTGCGTTCTGATCGGCTGGTCAAATGTCTCTACGGACGTTACACTTTCAGGATCGACGTCCAAATTTCCATTAATGGAAATATGGGAACTGACATCCATTGGGCCGACGGCCGGGGCTCCATTAGGGTTGACTGGAGGTGCTCCATTTCCTAGGGCGGTTATATTGTCGTTCTCGCCATGGAGACCAAGGCCATTATCTGTGTGTGGGTTCTGCTTGAGAGTTTGACATGTTGATCCTGGAACCAAAGATACTTCAAAGAACAAGAGTAAAATAGTGTGTTACGAAAATTGTACCAGGCAATCACTATTATCCTTAGCCTCACGGTGGACGCCAAACTGTTGACCCTTAAAATTGGATAACAATTAAATTTATGTGTGGTTTTAAGGATATGTGATTTCACTTGGCACAAATTGATAAATATGAGAATTAATGTTAGAAATTAACTGTAAAATAAGCAAATCAATATAATGAGCGATTATGGCCCTCGAGCTAGATCGTCCTCAAACCAACCGAGTATGCTATTGAGAAGTATGAACTGAACAACAGAGCTTAAGAAGAAAATATAATGTATTTCTTTGTTATGCGTGAATATGATGATTACAAAATGATTAGAACCCCTTTATATAGTAGAGGAATTCTATTTATGGTACAATTCTAAATACAAAAGCAAATCCCACGATAGGCTAAATAACCAGTCTTGATTTAGTGCGTACCGAGATTTCCTCTATGATCCTTGCCCGATCACGGATATCTCGGCTTTCTGTTATTCGACTTAGCTGGCTTCCTTCGACCTTGCTCGATCTCTATCCCGCTTCGGTCTCGATCACAACTGGTCTAGATCTTGATCGGTCATTGATTCATGGGCTTAGCAATCCATCCTCGTATCATGGTCCGTCATAAATCGAAGCTGATCCCTGACTTATCGTGCTCCATCCTCGATTAGTCTTACAAAAAGAGCAAGCCTAATTTTGACCGTATATAATAGGGTGTGTTTGGTACGAAGGAAAATATTTTCCATTGAAAATATTTTCATGGAAAATGAGTGGTTTTATCACTTATTTTCCCTTGTTTGGTTGGTGAGTAGAAAATATTTTCTAGTGTTTGGTTAGAGAGTAGAAAATATTTTTTTAGTAAAATATTTTTTTAAGCCACTCTCCTCATCCCCTCCCCCCTCTCTTCCCCCAAGTCTCTAAAAATTCACACAAACTCAAAGGAACTAATGTGCCGCTTTAGTTTTTTACGCAAAAATAAAGTTAAAATTTGTGCTCCATACCTAAAAAGAAATACTCTTTTTTTGGTTGAAAAAGAAAGAACTCTTTCAATAACATGAAAATAAAGTACTCATTTTATGGAAAAAAAGAAAGTACCTTTTCTACATCATGAAAAGAAAATACTTTTTTTGTTGAAATGAAAAAAAATACTTTTTCTACCTGAAAAGAAAGTATTTTTTGTTATAATAAAAAATTATTTTTTATATAATGAATAAAAATACTTATTTGTTGAAATTAAAAAAAATCTATCTATATTATGAAAAGAAAGTACTATTAATAATATTTTTATTAAGGTGGGATAGGGTGGTGGGTAGGTGGTAGTGGGGCGGGGGTTGGGGTTGGGTGAGGTTGGGTGTGAGAGTGGTTGGTGGGGATGGAGAATAGAGGTAGGGAATATTGAGAAGGAGTTTTGGAAAATATTTTTCCTTCTCTTGATAGGGAAAATATTTTCCTCAAATTAAGAAAAAATGTATTCATTAGAAAAATATTTTTCAAAACATTTAGACCAACCAAACAAAAGAAAATTGAAAAATATTTTGCGGAAAATATTTTCCTTCGTACCAAACACACCCATAGTTTAGTTACTTCACTTGTAGTAACCATCAAGTACTTCTTGAGTGTCCAAATTACATCTTCCCAAGGAATAACATGTGACACGATATTCGTTTTATTATCTATCATATGCAGCGACATGTTTATAGTAATTCACATTCTCATAGCAATTATATAACATTAATAAGGACGGTAAACTTCAAGAGAACAAACAGTAAAATCACTTTTCACCATTAGAAATAGTCATATCACATAAACGGAAGCTTTGGAGTAACACTAAAATTATCTCCGCTGTAACTTATAGTTTATAGGTTCGAGCGGAAAAAACAACCACTGATGGTTTTATTAGGGTAGACTATCTATATCATCCAGTGGCGGATTCAGAGGGCCGGAAGGGGGTTCACCCGAACCCCATTCCCCAAAAAATTACACTATATATATAAGACAAAATATATTTTTTACCTCTATATATTAAGCTTTGAATCTCCTTGACATAGGCCAAAAGAATAGCTTAGTGGCCAAGAGGGTTCAAAACTTTTGTAAGGTCATAGGTTCAATTCCAACTAGCTATAATCTTTTTCAACTTTTTTTTGAACCCCCTTAGCAGAAATACTGCCTCCGTCACTGATTACACCCCTTGAGGTACGTTCCTTCCCCGGTCCCTAAGGGATGCTTTGTGCACCGGGCTGTAATTTTTATAATAAACCATCAAGTTCACAAATCGACGAGTATATATTTATTAGATGAGAAAACAAAAGTCTAGAAATAATCAAAACAGTTCATAGAACTATAGTTCAACTTGGAAGGACTGCCATAAGAACTTACAATCTTGAGAGAGAAGGGAGAAAAATAATATGTTTCGAGAAAACCAACATTTTGGAAGGAGCGCACAATAAAATATTAAGTACAATCTAAGGACTAAAAAACAATTAGCTCTACCATATCTGAAAAACATTATAAACTTGATTATATCCTAACATTTTTAAGTACTTTTCAAGGACAATTTCAACAATAAACCCAGTGCTTCAGCACTTACCAATGAGGTCTTGTCGATTAATATTACACAGAAAAAATCAATTATAGACATTAATATAATTAGATCCGCTCGTTATAGACAAACTTGAGATTCGCGGTCCCAGGTAAGATCGGTTCATGATCATGAGATCATTTTCTATCAGATAGGAAGGACTCTAGCACAAAATGTACTTCTAAGTAATTGACCTCGTTTGCCCGTTTAAGTATGGATTGAACAAGAGATGCTAAATAGATTGCACAAACTTTGTACTTGCGAGATGCATGTAGCTCAGTTTTCAACCAAACTTCATCGTCTGTATGCAACACGATCCAGACCATAGGAAAATACATGCGCTTCATAGGTATGAATAGCAGTTCTTTGACAGGGGAAAATCTACAGTGTCGGGTATGAGTTTCTGGCTATCCAATAACTTTTGTCCAAATCTTGTATATTTGAAAAATCTAGTAAATCTATAAGAACTTTTATGTCGGAATCACATACTAAAACACGCTGTTGGTTCCAACTAATGAACAGTTTTACATTATTTATTTAGTAATAGACATTTGTAGTAAACATAAAACAGAAACAACAACTTAGCCATATACCAAATTAAAGGAAAGAAAAAATATTCAACTGTTTTTTTTTTCAATTAAGGTTTTTTTAAAAAAAAAAAAAAAGAAGAAAAACATACTAACTATAAAAGTTCATGATCTTCCTAATTGCCTTGGCTAAATACTCATCCTCCTCCTTCTCCTCGTTAGTATCATTATTATCATCATCACCACCGCCACTATCATCATTATTATTATCATCATCTATAGAAGAAAAAAGAAATCAGTCAAGTCAATAGGCCCCGACTTAATTGTTAAATCTAATTGAAGTAAAAAGCCTACATAAAGAAAATTGCTTTGATAAAGTTATGATTTTCTCAGTTCGGTGTACAATATTTTGCTTGAGCACACATTTCCCTAAATGGGTCTTTGGTTTGGATATCATCACGTCAAGGTGGAGGTGCTAAGACAAGAGATCTCTCAACTTCAATTGTCAGGTTCAACTAGAGGGTACCAAGTTGCAGCAGGTGCTGTATAATATTGTAGATAATTCACTGTTCCGTGATAAAACATAAAAAAGAAACAACACACATTTTCTACAATTTTAGAAAACAAAATTACAGAAGATCAGAGGCGGAGCCAGGATTTCAAGCTTATGAGTTCAAAATTTTAAGCATTTTAAGTTACTGAATTCTAAACTGTTCAAGACAAATACAGGATTAAACCAAAGCTACTGGTTTCGTTAGCCAGAACACTGGCTCCACTCCTGCAAAAGATGATTTTGCTTTATTCTTGATCATATGCGCTTTGTCTTGAACAAAGAATAATTATCAGGAGGGCATCCCCAGTTAAATGTTTGCATTCACAAAGACTAACTGGTTTAGATGAGTCATTTTTAGCATTAAATAAATCCTTTTAAAAAAAAAAGATAGGCAGTATTATTATTGTTCCATACATTTTACACAAAAATGTTACTCTAGAATTCAGATAAGTAAACAATGAAATTCCAGCTTCTAGCAACCAGCCCCTCCGCCTTGCTTTATAAATCATTTTCATAACCAATCATCTCCATTTGTTTTGACAAAAGAATATTTATAAGGGAACTTCATAGTTAATTAATTGTTTACAGTGATCGAAACTGTATATAGGTTTTCTTGCGTTTATCCATCTTTAATTTATTGCTAAAGTTCAATTTTAATTGATAGTACTTCTACTTCAAGAACTTTTACCTTTGAAAGTAAGATAAAATACTAAGCTTTAACAAAGGTGTCAAACAAAAGGAATCATTAGTAAAAGGCACGTTAGAGAAATTGGAGAATTGATTAAAAAGAGTACCTGAATATGAATTGTTACTATTCCACCAGTACTCCTGGATAAAGACCTCGAAGCTAGAATTCTGATAATCTTCAACTTGTGTTTCCCAGATATCCCTTGCTGACTTGTCGACAAATTTATTGCAATATTCTACCTTAATGGACTTTAGAGAACAGAGGTCTCCGAAACAAGAAGGGATCTCCTTAAGAAATTCGCAACCATGCAAAGCCAAGTGTTCAAGGTTGGGAAAGGCAATGTCAGCGATAGTCCATTCTTTAAAGAACTTTATCATTTGTAGTTTCAAGACTTTGAGTCGAGGGAACTCGCCATCCCTCACTTCCCATTTCTCATTGTCAAAGTGAATGCGTTGCAGTTTCAGTACTTGAAGATTCTGAAACGAAGCAATTTCTGATAAGTGCTGAGGATGCATGAAAAAATAGCATACTGTCAAGCTTTTGAGATTTGGAGCAGAGATGGAAAAGGGGATGGTTTTAGCTAAAGATGTGTATCTGCCAAAAATCTTCAGAATTCCAATCCATGTTGGAAACTTCAATACATAGTACTGAAAGTTGTCAACACCATCGACTTCACATCTCAGTTCCCGAAGATTAGGTGTTCTTCTCAAAATCAATTCAGCATCCTGAATACAAGAAAAGTATGGAGTGGAAAGAGCTTTCAAATCATAAAGTTTTTTGGAGTTCTCAAGTAATTCTTCTGCAGATTCTATAATGAAGTTGCTCTTGGAAATATGCAGATATCTCAAATTAACCATCTCCCAGAGTGCAACGGGTAGTGACATATCTGCATCTTGATAATGACTATCCCGTAAAATCAAAGTTTCAAGGTTCCAACGGTTGGCTGTGAATGATGAAAGTGACGACACTTGAGTTCGTGCAGCAAAATACCTCAAGTAAACTAGATCAACTGGGATAGAATCAATTATTATGGACTCCAAATCTAACACTTTTAAAAGCTTAAAGCTGTGAAAATTGTGGGAGACGGTGCCAAATGCATTGTTATGCAAAATTATAGAGCCAACATGTGGCAAACACGAGCTCCAATCTCCAATACGATACCCATCACCATAAACGGACGTGCGATGAGCAAGTTGCTTGTCATAGCAAACAAGGTAAGAAGGATTGATATGTTGATCCCTGCAAATATTGAAATTAGTAAAATTACAAGATTAATTGCAGGGCCGGCTCAAGGGTCAAGCCATTGAAGCAATGGCTTTAGGTCCCCAAATTTTTAAAGCTCCATTTTTTTTAATAAATAGGTTAATTCTATGGTTATTTTTTTTAAAAAAATATTGAATATTTATGGTATAAAAGGTAAAGATCTTTAAAAAAATAAAGAAAAGAGAATTATTAAGTTTTTCATGATCTAAAAAATAAGGGATTAGAGGCATTAAATAAATTATTATTCTTTATTTTTTCTCATGTTCTCAAGCATTGCAGCAAACAAATTAAAATAATAAATTTTTTCTTTAAATTTGAAATTTATTATCTTTTTTCTATTTTTACCTCATAGTAGTATATTTTTTTTTTATTATTTTATCAAAATTCAAATATGTCAACTCTAAAGCATGAATCAATTACTTAATAGTATATATATTTTTAAAATATTAAGGCCTCTTAATATTGTTTGGCTTTAGGCCCTTAATGTTCTTGAGCCGACCTTGATTAATTGTCAATATAACTTGACTACTTAATTAATTGAACTGAAAGATTACTGCTAATTCGTATATTACCATTTTATGCACAGCAGAAGATACTCTTCTTTTGCTTTCTCCTTACAGAAATCATGCAATAGGTCATGAATGTAACATGCTTTGATCTTACCTCCAAAACTCTTCTTAGTTCCCATCACTAGATTTCTTCTAATAAGATTCTCTAAATAACCATCAGCTATATCCTCCATACTCTTGCCTTCACAACCTTTTATAAATCCTTCTGAGATCCATAACTTTATTAACTTTGAAACTTTTATCACACGGTCCTCTAAAAATGCTCCGAAGTATAGAAAGCAAGACCTTAAATGATAGGGTAAATTTTGATAACTATGTTCTATAGTGGCCCTTGAGTTACTGTGAATGTAGGGACTTAAATTTTTGGCCACTTGTTCCCAACATTCTTCTTTCTTCTCCGTCTCTGCCAGAATACCAGCCACCAAGACAATTGAAAGAGGCAGCTGGCCACACTTTTTTGCTATTTGTTGCCCAATGTTCATTAGGAGAGGAGGGGATTTTTCTTCTCCAAACACAATTTTCCTAAGTAACTTCCAACTTTCATCATCATTAAACATACGAAGTGGAAGGGGATCACTTTGAAATCTAGCGTAATTTGCAACTTCATAATTTTGAGTTGTTAGAATGATTCTACTTCCATTATTGGCATCTCGAAAACATCCTATTATATCATCCCACGCACTAGCTTCCCACACATCATCAACAAGGATGAGATATCTTTTGGAGTATAAAGCTTTGCGTAGCTCATCAGCTAATTGATCAACACGTTTTTCTCCACATTCAAAGTCTTTACCGGTAGCATCATGTAGAATCTCCAGTAACAAGTTCTTACGTGAATATACTTGAGACACACAACACTGTGCACGGATGTCAAAGTGAGAAACAACTAACTTGTCAGAGTAGAGTCTGCGGGCTAGAGTCGTCTTGCCTAGACCCGGCATGCCGGTTATCGAGATAACATCTCGCCCTTTGGTTCCTCTTACTAGTTTGTCTCTTAATCTTTCTATGACATCCTTAAAACCCACAACTTCATCATTCATGATTGTAGACCTTGCCAAACTTGATGGAGTTTGAGTTTTGCCAGTATTGTTCATTGTTTCCTCAACTATTTCTTTCCTTCGAATCTCTGCTACCTCATTTCTGATATGAGCAATCTCCTCTATGATATCCAAAAGCCAACGCTCAAGGCACCAGAGAGGACCTTCTTTGCTTATAAAAGCATTAACTATGTATTCTACCTCATATGCTTTGCCAATTAATTGTGTAGCACAACGATGAAATTTGTCACCGCCATCGTGCCGCTCTTCTGCAATATCCACTAGAAATGGTTGCAAGCTCTTGAGTTCCTTTTGAATTATTTGAACTTGGTTCTTGACAGAAGCGAGTGAATCTGCATAACGGTCTTGGAGCTCCTTGAGGTTGTTTAAAAGGAAATCAACATAGCCTAGCCCATGAATCCTTGGCAAGTTAGATTGAAACACCTTCCGAATGGTGAGGTAGATTGTTGTTCTTATATGTTGAAGGTTGCCCGACAAATCCAGAACTGGTGCAGGGTTCGCTACTCCCAGTGCCATGTCTTCCTTCGCCTCCTCGCCTTCCTGTAACGAGTAAACCATAAGTCCGACATCAATAACCATAGTCTCGATATCTGGAAAAAGAAATTCAAGATCTTGTATCGTCACATGGAAGATATTTCCTCTCAAGAGGTTGAGCATCATTTGAAGGATATCCAAGTGATCCTTCAAAGCAACTCTCTGACTGGAGTTATTATTAGTTGGTAGGTCTGCCAAATTGTGTAGGATAGTCTCCAAACAGTTGACTTCAGTATCAATTGCATGCTCTTGATTTTGGATTTTGGGATACCATCCTGCAGATTGTATTGTCGACTTTAAAGTTTGCAAGACATCAGCATAGATCTTGCGGATGCATGGTTGAGTGGGCTTAATCCTCATTCGCAAGAGATCAGAAAGCAATACATTTATTTCCTCTGAAGCCAAGTCTGGTAAATACAACCAGAAAAGCATTGATGCGTGGCCGGCCACTGCTAAAGCGTGAGTAAAGAACTTAACAATATGTTGGCTCTGAGGATCACTTAAGCTCCTTGAGACAAAAAAGAAGAAATTTTGCAGCAAGTTCAATTCTTTTAAAACATCTTCTATTGTTGAAGTTTGGCAAAATGCCAAAGTCCCACATTGGTTGGGAGTTAAGTTTGGAGGGGATTTTTCCCCTATAAAAGAAGGCCTAATGTTTAGGATTGAAACACACCTCTCATTTGCCTTCTCATCTGTTTAAGGCATTTGTATCTTCTCTCTTTAGTATTATTTCACTTGTATTTTTGGAGTGAAATAAAATATTGGTTGTGTCCGAGGAGTAGGCAAAATTAGCCGAACCTCGTAAATTCTGGTGTTCCCTTTATTGTTGCTTTATTGTCTTATTTATTATTTGGTGGCTGTCATAATTTTTGGTATAGTAGTTGTGACTTATTCACACTATATACATTTGGCTTCCGCAACAATTGGTATCAGAGCCAAGGTACTGTCTAAGTATGCTCTGTGGTTGCAGCATAGTCTGATCTTCCACATCAGAAAAGATTTATCTTGGTAACTGAGTCAAGGTTCTGTCTGAGTATGCTCTGTGGTTGCAGCTTAGTCTGATCTTCCACACCAGAAAGGAAATAATCTTGATTTGTGTCGTCAGCTATTAAATAATATTTGTGTCAAAGATGGGAGACAATAAACAAGAAGAATCTACATCAAGTGTCAACAATACGTCATCATTGGCATCTTCGCTTATGACAAGAATTGTGTCAAATGCGAAATTTGCGGTAGAAATATTTGACGGGTCCGGACATTTTGGGATGTGGCAAGGCGAGGTTCTAGATGTCCTTTTTCAACAAGGGCTAGATCTGGCCATTGAAGAAAAGAAACCAGATGTTATTGGAGAAGAAGATTGGAGAATTATCAACCGTGTTGCTTGCGGTACCATTCGATCCTACCTTGCTAGAGAGCAGAAATATCCATACACAAAGGAAACTTCTGCAAGTAAATTATGGAAAGCACTGGAGGATAAATTTTTGAAGAAAAACAGTCAAAATAAATTGTACATGAAGAAGAGACTGTTTCACTTCACCTATGTTCCTGGTACCACGATGAATGAACATATCACCAGTTTCAATAAGTTGGTCACAGATTTGCAAAATATGGATACAACTTATGATGATGGTGACTTGGCCTTGATGTTGTTGGCGTCACTTCCTGATGAGTACGAGCACCTTGAAACTACTCTACTCCATGGAAATGACGAAGTTTCTCTCAGAGAAGTTTGTTCGGCTTTGTACAGCTATGAACAAAGAAAGCGAGAAAAACAGAAGGGCGGAGAAGGAGAAGCACTATTTGTGAGGGGTCGTCCTCAAAATCAAACGAGGACAAAGAAGGGAAGATCCAAGTCAAGATCCAGACCCAGCAAAGATGAATGTGCCTTTTGTCGAGAAAAAGGGCACTGGAAGAAAGACTGTCCGAAGTTGAAGAATAAGGCCAAACATAACAATGGAAAGGCCATTATGGATTCAAATGTAGCTGATTGTGATGATTCAGACTTCTCATTAGTTACAACAGAGTCATCAACATCATCAGACATATGGTTGATGGACTCGGCTTGTAGCTATCATATGTGTCCCAACAGGGACTGGTTCGTGGAATTTCAAGAAGGAGAATATGGAGTCATCCACACAGCGGATAACAGCCCTCTTACCTCATATGGCATTGGTTCAATACGATTAAGGAACCATGATGGAATGATCAGAACATTGATAGATGTTCGATATGTACCGGATTTGAAGAAGAATCTCATCTCTGTGGGAGCCCTAGAATCAAAAGGGTTCAAAATCATTGCAGAAAATGGAGTGATGAGAGTATGCTCCGGTGCACTAGTGGTAATGAAGGCTAATCGGAAGAATAATAATATGTACCGCTATCGTGGCAGTACAGTTATTGGGACAGCGACAGTGACATCCAGTGACGACAAAGAGGCAGAAGCAACCAAGCTATGGCACATGCGCTTGGGACATGCTGGAGGAAAATCCTTGAAAACTCTATCAGATCAAGGATTGTTAAAAGGAGTAAAGGCTTGCAACTTGGAGTTTTGTGAGCATTGTGTCAAAGGGAAACAGACAAGGGTTAAATTTGGTACAGCGATCCATAATACTAAAGGCATTTTGGATTATGTACACTCTGATGTTTGGGGTCCTTCCAAAACACCTTCATTGGGTGGGAAGCACTATTTTGTAACCTTTGTTGATGATTTTTCTCGAAGAGTGTGGGTGTATACAATGAAAAACAAAGATGAAGTGCTGGGAATTTTTCTCAAATGGAAGACGATGGTGGAGAATCAAACAGGCAGGAGGATCAAGTGTATTCGCACAGACAATGGAGGTGAATACAAAAATGATCATTTCAATAAGGTCTGTGAAAATGATGGCATCGTCCGACACTTCACTGTTAGACATACACCACAACAGAATGGAGTGGCAGAACGTATGAACCGGACCTTGCTGGAGAAGGTACGGTGTATGTTGTCCAATGCTGGCTTGGGCAAAGAATTTTGGGCTGAGGCAATTACATATGCATGCCACCTCATTAATCGTCTACCATCTGCTGCTATTGATGGCAAAACACCATTTGAAAAATGGTACGGAAAACCTGCTGTAGATTATAACTCTTTGCACGTGTTTGGCTCAACTGCATATTATCATGTGACGGAGTCAAAATTGGATCCAAGGGCAAAGAAGGCTATTTTTATGGGAATTACTTCTGGAGTCAAAGGATATCGCTTATGGTGTCCTATGACAAAGAAAGTAATATTCAGCAGAGATGTTACCTTTGATGAATTTGCTATGGTAAATAAGGTAACAGAAGATACCAAACAAAATGAAGGTGCTTCTAAGCAGGTGGAGTTTGAGGGAAAATTTATTTTTCCTACACAAGAAGCAGAGGAGGAAACAAATGAAGATTACCCTCTGGAAGGAGAGCCAGTAGAGGAGATTCCAACTCAGGAATCTCAACAACAACTTGAATCAATAGCAACCAGCAGGCCAAAAAGAACAATAACGAAACCTGTTCGTCTCATAGAGACGGTTGCTTGTGCAACCTCAATTGTAGCTGATGATGTTCCTACTACTTATAAAGACGCTGTCCAAAGTTCAGAAGAAGATAAGTGGAGGATTGCCATGAATGATGAAATACAGTCCCTTCATCAGAATCATACATGGAGATTGGCCAATCTCCCGAAGGGAAAGAAAGCAATTGGGTGCAAATGGGTATTTGCAAAGAAGGAAGGATTTCCTAACCAAGTAGATGTTCGCTACAAAGCAAGATTGGTGGCCAAAGGATATGCTCAAAAGGAGGGAATTGATTACAATGAAGTGTTTTCTCCAGTTGTAAAACATTCCTCCATTAGAATTATGTTGGCTTTGGTAGCACAATTGGATTTGGAACTAGTTCAGATGGATGTAAAAACTGCGTTTTTACATGGAAACTTGGAGGAGGAAATCTACATGACTCAGCCAGAAGGATTCAAAGTTGCTGGAAAAGAAAATATGGTGTGCAAACTTGAAAAATCGTTGTACGGATTGAAACAATCTTCTAGACAATGGTACAAGCGATTTGACGAGTTTATGTTGCGGCAAGGGTACAAGAGAAGCAAATACGATCATTGTGTGTATTTGCACAAGCTTAAAGATGGTTCCTTTGTATATCTTCTCCTATATGTTGATGATATGTTGATAGCTTCCAAGAATTCGGAAGAAATTGATAAGTTGAAGATTCAACTGAAGAAGGAGTTCGAGATGAAGGATTTGGGTGAGGCAAAGAAAATTCTTGGCATGGAGATAATTAGAGATAGACGTTCAAAGAAACTCTGTTTATCTCAAAAGGAATATTTGAAGAGAGTACTTCAACGTTTTGGCATAGATGACAAGACTAAGCCAGTTAGTACTCCACTTGCTTCCCATTTTAAGCTAAGTACTACTATGTCGCCAATGGATGAAGCTGAACGAGAGTATATGTCAAAGGTACCATACGCAAATGTTGTTGGTAGCTTGATGTATGCAATGGTTTGCACAAGGCCTGACATTTCACAAGCTGTTGGAGTTATTAGCAGATATATGCACAATCCAGGGAAGGAGCATTGGCAAGCTGTGAAGTGGATTCTACGGTATATTCATAATACTGTAGATGTCGGGTTAGTTTTTGAGCAGGAAGACAATCAGTCTGTAGTTGGATATTGTGACTCAGATTTTGCGGGTGATATGGACAAACGAAGATCAACTACTGGTTATGTGTTTACTTTTGCAAAGGCACCAGTTAGTTGGAAGTCTACTTTGCAGTCAACAGTTGCTTTGTCTACAACAGAGGCAGAGTACATGGCTATTACAGATGCTGTGAAAGAGGCAATTTGGCTTCAAGGATTGCTAAAGGAGCTTGGTGTTGAACAAAAAGGTATCACAATTTTTTGTGATAGTCAAAGTGCTATTCAATTAGCGAAGAACCAAGTTTATCATGCAAGGACGAAGCACATTGATGTTCGGTATCATTTCGTACGAGAAATCATAGAAGAAGGTGGAGTCACGGTGAAGAAAATTCATACTACAGAGAATCCTGCTGATATGCTGACAAAGGTGGTGACTGCGGTCAAGTTTCAACATTGTTTGGATTTGATCAACATTGTTGAACACTGAAGATTGAAGATGAAGACACAACCAAAATTTGTTATTGAGAGAGAATTGAAAATGTGGAATTTTGCCAAGGTGGAGATTTGTTGAAGTTTGGCAAAATGCCAAAGTCCCACATTGGTTGGGAGTTAAGTTTGGGGGGGATTTTTCCCCTATAAAAGAAGGCCTAATGTTTAGGATTGAAACACACCTCTCATTTGCCTTCTCATCTGTTTAAGGCATTTGTATCTTCTCTCTTTAGTATTATTTCACTTGTATTTTTGGAGTGGAATAAAATATTTGGTTGTGTCCGAGGAGTAGGCAAAATTAGCCGAACCTCGTAAATTCTGGTGTTCCCTTTATTGTTGTTTTATTGTCTTATTTATTATTTGGTGGCTGTCATAAATTTTTGGTATAGTAGTTGTGACTTATTCACACTATATACATTTGGCTTCCGCAACATCTATAAGTTTCATTATTGTTTCGGGGACAATAAGAAACGTACAGCGAACATAAATCTTCACTAGATCACGAAGATTCTCCACCACAGTATCCATGAATTCCGTCACAAATTTGCGAATATCAATACCATCCTTGTTGGCTGAAAGTGGTAAGGATGATATTTTAGGAAAGGAATATTTGGATCTAATTTCCCTCTTAATCAACCAAATTTCATTTTGTAACTTAAAGGTACAAAAATCAAAGTACTCAGCTAGATGTAATTCAGAAAAGTCAAGTAGAGCATCTTGAAACAGAGCTTGGACTTTGTGAGTGACATCTAGCATACTGTTTGGTTCATCAGTGAAGATCTGCAAGCTGAGAAAAATATCGAGGAATTTGAATTCCTGTATAAAGAATTGGACTCCATATATAAAAGTTTCAGGGTAGAATAAACTAATGTCAAGTTCTTGCAAACGTTCAAAAAGACGATTCTTTGAAGACACATATTGGTTAGAGGACATTTTTTCTCAGAAGTGGTGAGTGTTTAAAAGATAATGTGATGAAGTTGAACTGCAAAGGGGAAGAAGAAGAAGAAGAAGAAGAAGAAGAAGAAGAAGAAGAAGAAGAAGAAGAAGAAGAGAGCAACTCAGATGGTTGGATTCCTGTTGCTTAGAATAAAGATTATGACAATTAAACAACACTTACCCAAAGCACCTTTGATTTTCCAAAAGCACCTTTTGATTTTCAAATGCACCTTCCACTGAGGCCAAAACAACTTTTTCTGTTTCATTATTCAAACAACCACTCCCAGAAACCAGAACGCCTTTGCCATTTTCCACCATTATAAAAATGTTATTAAATGTCGAATACGTGACTAATCTTATGTTATATTTTGTTCTCGGCAGATTTGTGACTGAGTGTACTATTGCTATGTATTGCTCCAGTTGGACATACAGTAAGGTACTACTTAGTACTTAAGGTACTACTTCAATACTCATCCTTAAAAGTATGGGTGTTCGTCGGTCGGTACGGTACGGTACGTAGACATTTCGGTTCGATATTTCGGTATTCGGCTTTTTAAAATGTTTTACCAATACTATACCTAATTAAATTCGGTATGGTTTCCTTGCGGTTTCGGTTTATTCGGTCTTGTAACTTCGACCTGATTTTTCGGTTTATTCGGTCTGACTTCTCGCTCTGATAGAAAAAAAGAAAAAGTCTCACTGTTCAGACCTTTAGCTTGACAAAAATAAGAAAAGAACAATCTGATACACAAAGCATCCCGTATTCACGTAGGGATTGGGGACGCATCCTAAGAAGTATAATGTAGACAGTCTACCCTAATGCAAGCATTAATGGTGGCTTCCACGGCTCAAACATGGAGACAATTTTACAGTTGCTCCAAGGCTCCCCTTCCTTGACAGAAATAAATAATTAACAGAATTAGTGCACCTGTTTAGACAACAGGGGGTACTTTTCATTGAACTACAAAAGCATACAAAATTTCTTCTCCAAGCTGCATGATCTTGGACCCTACAATTGAAGAGAGAAAAAGAAGATAAATCCTTAGTTAGTCGTTAAAAAAAACTTATAAAGAAAATATCGTATACAATTAACTCAAATTGACACAATGGCTTCTATTTTCCATCACCTATCACAATCAAAAGGATTTAAGGAAATCAAAATCATCTTGTTTTCACTTTTTTATCCTAATTAGCCTACTAACAGACGAAGTAAAAGATGCTAAATTTAATTCACTGAACTACAGGACTTGAAATTTACAAACAACATACTTTCAATTTTCGTTCAGGCATTTTACCGAGCAGGTGAAGGGCATCTCAATACTGACATAGGAAATACAATATCTTACCTTGTTTTATGAGGCGCAATAATGACGGAGGAAGAGAAATAGCTTCAAAGCCACTTATCTTTTCCATATTTATGGGGAAAAAGGTCAAATATATCCCTTACTTTTAAATATTGTTTATATTTCTCCTCCATCATACTTTGGAAACAAAAATACCCCTATCGTTACAATTGTTATCAAATATACCCCTATGTCTCACGGAAGTACACTGTGGCAATGACTCACAGATTAAAATTTCATGTGGGTTGACATTCAAGTGAGGTGGACGCCAGCGTAACCTTATTTTATCCCCTTACTCGGTAGGACAATACTTTCTCCAGTTCTTCCAATTTTTTCTTTTTGATAAAGAAAAAGGGTCAAATATGTCCTTATACTATTGAAAAAGGTCTAATATTACCCTCCGTTATACTATCAGTCCAAATATACGCCTAACATCATGCTATCGGTCCAAATATATCCCTGACATCATAAAAGTGGTACAAACTTACCCTTCCTCCGTTAACTGCCTCCCTTGTGAACACATTTTATTGCTACCTCACTATTTCACCCTATTTGCAGCTACCAAGTTCAATTACTTTAAAGTTCTATCATTATTTTGAAGACTTCACTGCCTCTACTTTCTCTTGCTTTTCAAAATACTCGTTGCTTCTCCGGCCAATCCTGGAATTGTACGTACCTTTCACTTGATCTTAAATTTTTGTGTTTTATTTTGCATTTCCTTGTGTTGCCGCTGAATTTGTAAGATCTATTTAGGGAAAATTTAGTAGCACTTTTATTTTAACATAAAACGTAAAAAGAGAAAAAATGGTAGCCTTCCAGAAATGTGGTTGAAGATAAAGAAACAAAAAAAAAATAACTCTGGTGTCTAGGTTGTTTTTCTTTCTCACCATGGTCAATTTTGAAACCTTAAACTAGTTTGCATGTATCTTTGTTTAGTTTTTTATATAAAACAAAATGTATTTTCGTTCGTATAAGCATGAATTTTGAATAGCAAAATCAGAATTTTCTCGGTTCACGTTGTTTCATATTATCTTTAGCTGTTAGCATTTCTTTTGATATAGTTTGTTTGTATATCTATGATCTGTGATTTTCTTCAAATGAAAGGGAAAGAAAGGTTGTGGGGAAGGGATGAAAATGGGAGTATAATGGTAAGGTAGCAATGAAATGTTGTCATAGGAAGGCAGTTAACTGAGGAAGGGTAGGTTTGCACCACTTTTACGATGTCAGGGATATATTTGGACCGATAGTATGACGTTAAAGATACATTTGGACTGATAGTATAACGGAAGGCAATACTAAATCTTTTTCAATAATATATGGACAAATTTGACCCTTTTCCGTTTTGACAATCGTTTACTGATTTGGGGAAACGTAGTTGAAGGAAAACTAAAACCACCATTGGACTGTTTGGAAAAGCTTGAAGAACACCCAAATGGGTCTGTAGTGAATCTGTGATTGCTTAAATCTGCCTTTGCCATGGACCCATCTTCTCCAACTTGATGCAAATCCTTCAAGCTAAATGAAGCTCCCAAAAGTCACGCTCTAACTCATGTCCTTTTTCCGCCCCCGCGAGGGTACAAAGAGTTTTTTTCAATTAAAGGACAATCGAAACGGGATTTATTTATTTATTTCAGAGTCGCCACTTGGGAGATTTAGGGTGTCCCAAGTCACCAATTTTAATCCCGAATCGAGGAAAAGAATGACTCCATATTACAGTCTGCGTACCAGAAATCCGGATAAGGAATTCTGTTAACCCGGGAGAAGGTGTTAGGCATTCCCGAGTTCCGTGGTTCTAGCACGGTCGCTCAACTGTTATATTCGGCTTGATTATCTGATTTTATACAAATATGAACTTATGTGCAAATTTTATCTTTTTACCGCTTTCATAATTGTTATTATTATTTTTACAAGAATGTGAACATTGTTTTAAACATGTCTTTGGATTACGTCGCATGAAATGCACCCGCAATCCGGAACACATTTTTATTCAATATTTTGGGATTTGGATTTGGGTCGCATGAAATGCACACCCGAGTTTAAGAAGGTAAGCTCATTAAAATGCGCGCCTAAAGCAATTAGCGTATTATTATTTCTGGGTAAGGCCGTGGAACTTTGCTAAACGGCTCATCCCAAAGTCTAATTAATTTTAATTAAACATTTATGGAGGGCCCCACAGTTTTGTACTTTTATTCGGCGAGACTCGTCTCATTTATTTTTTAAAAGACAATCCTAAAATGCCTACATTATTCTCTATTAAATTTGTCTCTACAAAATAAAATAAAAAAATATCTTAATTTATTTACATGCTGAAATTAACCAATAATATTTAATTAAACAACATTCCTCCAAGTTCCAAAATGGTCTATTTTGATGAACTAACGTGTTTTTTGAGACATGGTAATCATCCAACAATAGCGAATTAACTAGACGAAGTTACTACACCATTTATTTATTTTTAG